CAGTGTTTGGACAGAATATCCTGTCTGCTTCTTGTACTATGGATAACCACTAAGAAGATAACAATGTACAGTGTATTGACTATCAAAACTGTTCTATTAATCAGCTGTGAAACTGTCTCATTCATATTTATTTCTCAATAAAAAAATAAATATATATTAAAAAATAGATACCCTGAAAAAGCCTTCTAATTGAAACAAATAAAATACAAATATATTACTGAGTATGTATGAAGGAATGGAATTCCTTCAGACAAAATGAAGTGATTACAAATTAAGTGAATGCAGAAACCTTAACAAGGGAGTAAATGTTAAAAGTAGTTTTTGTCTTGAGTGTTTCTGCTTATACTGTGATGTCTACAAGAAGGACAGAGCTGGTCAAATAGCTCAGCGGATTGAAGCACCTGCAAGCAGGCACAGGGGCCAGGGGTTTGATCCCCAAGCTTGCCGTGCTGGCCCTGCCCCCAGGTTGCACTGAGATGGCAATTGAGACTGGGCATGGTGATGCACACCTGTAATCCCAGCTCTTGGGAGGCTGTAAACAGGTGGATCACTATGAGTCCAATCTAGTAGTGAGACCCTGAACACCCTGTAAACCTTTCCCTAAAATACAAAAAAGGAGAAGAAGACAATGTAAAGCCCAGGACCACTCCAAGTGATGATCCAAACAGAGGGCTTCTGCATGAAATTGAGAACCCTAAAGCCCACCCTTATAGTAGAAGCAAATAAGGTACAAATGGGAGCATAATAATGCAAATTTCAAAAGTCAGTTAGGAGGTTGAAAGATATCCCAGAACAGAATGCATATTGTGCCAAACAAATCTAATTATACTACAAATGTATAAAACTACCCCCACTGAAAGACGAGAAAGGAAAAATTGCTGATCTAAGCATCTTTGGAAATAAATGGACTCTGGGGCCGGCCAAATAGCTCAGCAGATTAAAACACCTGCAAGCAGGGGCAGGGGCTGGGGGTTCAATCCTCACACCTGCCGTGCTGGCCCCGCCCCCCAGGGTGCGCTGAGAAAGCAATTGAGACTGGCGTGGTGGCACATACACATATAATCATGTGCACCTGTAATCCCAGCTCTTGGGAGGCTGTAAACAGGTGGATCACTACAAGTCTGATCTAGTAGTGAGACTCTGAACACCTGTAGACCCTTCCCTAAAATACAGAAGAAGGAAAGAAAGAAAGAAAGAAAGAAAGAAAGAAAGAAAGAAAGAAAGAAAGAAAGAGAGAGAATCTGAAAGACCAAAGGCAAGATCAACAACACATAGCACTGTACCCTAGTTGATAAGATTGTTTCCCTCACAAGTTAGCAATTCTGATAGTGTTACTCATATTACGCATCAGACACAATTAAGTAAATGGATGGTAAGCAATGGCAGCCAGCTTTTCACATGGAAGGAGTTTACAGATAGGCAGGGAGAGCCTAAAACGCCCTATATGGATAGCAGAAGCAGAGATAGCTATAAACTCATGTTTAGCCTAATAAAGATATAAATGGTGACATATGAAGATATTTACAGACACTTGTTTATATAAGGACTAGAGCTACTCACACATATGTCCTCAATTGTCAGCTACCAGGGCCTAGAAGCAATGACATTTAACTATCCACGAGCACACCTAGTTCTCAGGTATTTGTTTCTAATTGTAGTCTTAATAAAAGCAGCCAGGGCCTCTTGGGTAAATGCCTGGTTCTAAGACTGGAACAGTATATATGCATAACTAAGGTAAGCCTGGAACATCTTAAAATGCAAAAAGTATTACACTAAAGCTTTTCTCCAAACCAATCAAACAGTAACCCCCCCAAAAAATATTAAAAATAAAACATAAACTCCACAATGCTGAGAGTGTGAAAGTGGTAAAAGAGCTCTCAGTGGCCAAAACTGGCATAATTTGAGAAACCAAAGAAAGTATTTTGGACTATCACTCCAGGTGCACAGTAAATATCCATGATTCCACACAGACATAAACAAATGGAGGAGGAGAGAGAAATCCTCTATGC